CATCAAAACCGTTGTAATCTTTAGTTTATTTTCTTGTATTTTTGGTTTAGTTTTTATTTTTAGACTCTAGAAGGTCAAGACCGACGAGCTATTAATAAAGCTCCATATGCGACATTGTAATTCACAAATTTTTACCCCATATCAATAAAATCGGCAGTTCTTCTTCAAGTTTAAGTCTTGAGTTTTTGCTTGTTCTTTGCGTGTGTCATTCACCAAAGTTACAAGTGTTTTAGTTGTATCAGAGATCATTCCATACTCTCTGTGGTGCCAGCGATCCCCCAACACTCATCATTCTTTGAATCAACGTGAGAGAGTCTAAGGCCATCACGTTCATTCCCATCCCATAAGATCCGGTCATCCGATCCCTTTGCTAAAGTGGAGGCCCGAGATTAGTATATGGGAAATCGGTCCCAACAATTGTCTTCGACTGCTTATATCCTTTTCAAGGAGGTAGGGAGTCAACCTTCATTCATTCCTGTTCCTGAAAAATACATGTAAACTCTTTATACCCAAAGGTTTTTCACATGGGACTAGATTAGAAAAGATCTATCCTGATGAACTGCGCATCTCTCGAGAGTATGAGCTGTGTCGGGATTTGGTAAAAGAGGTTTATAGAGAAACAAGTAATGTTGCGAATGAGGAAGCTCTCCCCAGAGGGATTTACTTTTGATTTGATTTTGATGAGTGTTACAAAGTGTGAGAATATATGAATATACGTACCCCGCTCCCCCCCCCCCCCCCTTTTTTGAGAGAGGGGCAGTCGAACTCATCATGAGATGAGCTACCTCATAACCTTCGGGGATCAAACTGCCCCGTAGTTCATGGTCATGATAGATGGTCTTAGAAGTAGTACTTTTTCAAGTGTGTCACGTTCCAGGATTGTGGTACCGGGACTTCAGTTGCGTTGTTGACAAGTTCGTAAATTCTTGATCGGACCACCTTAGAGATCCAGTAAGGTCCTTCTCAGTTAGCCTCCAGTTTGCCAGAGTTTCTTTCAGCACTGCATTGGAAGACTTTTCGAAGGACGAGGTCTCTTTCGTTAAATCACCGACATATCACATTTGAGTTGTAATAATACTTGGTGGTGGTTTGTTGGTAGTTTTGTATTCAGATGAATGCTTGATCGCGTCGTTCATTGATCATGTCTAAATCATCAAAGAGCATTAAGTGGTTGAGGTCTTCTTGTCCAGGGAGAAGTCTTTGGCGCACTACCAGGAAATCTACCTTGGTGAGATTACACAATATGTCCCATAAACGAGTGCAAAAGGTGTCTCGCTAGTGGCCCGTCTTGGAGTTGTTCGATGCAACCATAGGACTCCTTCCAGTTCATCAGCCCATCGCCCTTTTTTCGTCGAGGCATTTCTTCAAACCATGGAGGATGGTTTACTTTGCTGCTTCGACTTGTCTGTTTCCCTGTAGTTAACGAGGTGTGGACTTGCTTAGTCTTATTTTTCATTTTTAAGCAGAACGTTTTGAAACGGGTGGAAATAAACTATATAATGCAGAATGCATATCATATATATTGTGTATTTAGTAGTTGAAATCCGCACGTATGTGCAAACCTAAATTTTTTGATAAAAATTAATTAATAATAGTATTTATCATTTATAATTAAAAGTGATTGATTTCCTAATGTTTTTGTAAACAGTTTTAGTTTATAAAAAAATATTTTAATAGATTTGAGAAATTATATATAGCAAAAAATAAAATACACACAAAACTTAAAACATTTTAAAATAAAATATAAAATAAAAAATAATTTTTTTTTATTCTTCGCCTTCTTTGTCTTTTATTTTTTATTTATATTTTTTATTATAGTTTTTAATCTCATTCTGTTTTGGTCTCATTTGTGGTTCATAGATTTTGCTAAATAATTGGAACATACATTCAAATCTAATATAAACTCTTGTTCTTTGTTTGTAATGAGACAAGATAATATAATAATAAATTAAAAATTTTCTCTTTCCAAAAATTTGATTTCGCAAATTTCACACAAAAAACTTGAACTTCTAAATATTTCGCCAAAAATTTACTTAAAAATAAGATTCCAATAATTTTTCGTCAAAAACTCAATTCCGCAAATATTTCGCCAAAAACATGAATCAGTAACTTTTCCACCAAAAAATTACGACAAAAATATGTTGTCAAAATTTCAATTTTGTGAATTTTCTGCTAAAAATTGAATCTATAAAAAAAATCTCACCAATAAATTTATATTGAAAATGTAATTCTAAAAACTACAGTCAAAAAATTGATTTTATAAATTTCTCGCCAAATAAGTGAAGCCGTCAAAAAAAATTACTTAAAAATATAATTTCAAAAAATATCCACGAAAACCTGGTTCCAAAAATTTTCTGCCAAAAATATGAATTTGTAACTTTCCTACCAAATTTTCTATTTTAGAGTATTTTAAATTTTTTTTAATTGCTTTGCCTAAAATTGTGAATCCATAAATTTTCTACCAAAAATATGATATCAAAAACTTTTCGACAAAATAGGTTGCCACGAAATTCCTGCTAAATGCTTGAAATCCGTAATTTTTTCGACAAAAAATTTGTATCAAAAATTTTATTTCCCAAATTTTTTGCTAAAAATTTTAGTACTTAAATTTTATATTGAAATATTAACATCAAAATTTAGTTATAGATTAAATAATATCATATCATAAGCCACATCTACTAAAAATTAATATGTCAATTACATCATCATTATACGTTATATTTAAATTATTCATACTAAATATACTAACTAATAAAATTAAAAAATAAATCAGTATTTTTTATTAAACTATATTTTTAATTAATATATAAAAAAATGTTGCAGTTATTTCATGTATTCAATCAATTTTTTGATATTATCCGAACCAAACCAAAAAACTAAAAACAATTTATACGCTATTTGTATGGCTGATTTTGACTAACTAAATTCAAACTGAACTTTTTATATTAGATTAGTTCGGTTTGGTTCTGCTTTTTTTATGTTTAGAATTAACTTATACAATTTTTAAAAGTATTTTGGTTTTTTTTTTTTTGAAAAAAATGCATCCAACTACCGAAACTAGTTTATGTGTTTTAGTTATTATAAAATTAATATCATCTCATATCTGAATTTGGATTCAATAACTAGATTAGTAAACGAACAACACCAAAATGTGGAGGTATAAGATTTTTTTCTTTTTTTCTGAATCTGGGATTTAAGATTAAAAGTTGTCAAATATGTTTACTCTCTTCGTTTTTTATTAGAAGATGTTTTAGAATTTATTTTTTATTCTAAAATATATGATATTTCCAAATTTTTATGTAAAAATTAAATATATATTTGTTGTTTTAGCTGTTTGAATTCTAAATCCTATTTTTTTATTGGTTGAACTATTTTGGAATTGATGAAAAAATATGTTTTGTTTTGAAAACATAAAAAATTAAATGCATATTTTCAAAACTTTATCTAATAAAAAATGGATGGAATGATAGAAAAAAAAAATATATATATATATAAGTAATTAATTTTGTAAAGGAAAATAAACCTTAAACGGTGACCGTTTGCGAATAAATGTGTGAGAGAGCCAACCATTGTCCAGCTAATGTATGTAGTACCTTGCAAGCTCCCCAATCACGAGGTTTCACCTTCTTCCACTACTCACAATTTGTTGACGTGGAAGCGCGTGATGTCACGTGTGGACACTGTGTGAGTGAATGCTCTCTAGTCTCTCTACCTATATGGATTCGGTTTACTCTTGCCAGCTGGACACTCTTCCCATAGCTCTCCACACCCACTTTCCTATACCATCTTTATTCTTTCAAAATTTGTTCATCATATATACAAATCATTTACTTATTATCCATGCTGTCCAAAAAAATTAAAAATCCCCAACGTATCTCGGAAGTTTCACATTTTTTTCTTTAACTGCCACGCGCTTTTTGTCTTAACAAATACAGCTTGCTAGCAAGGGTTATTTCGTCATTTTAAACTCATGATGTCTGTAACTAAGCTGTATATTCCGTCACACTTTATCGATACGGTCAATTTTGATGCCTCTTTTAAAAATTTATCAACTTTGGCCGTATGTAAATAATCTGACACATTAACCTTTATTATTTTCTACAGTGTATAGAATACAGATATTAATAGTACTTATTATTCCATTTTTTATTGATCCAACTTGATTCAATTTCTAATCCTTTTTAAATAAAAATGACAATCTGTACAGTTTTATTTAATTCTGTTTTACCACAAGAATCCTATGTCTCATTGGAGCCTCCGAGTCTTATCCAAAATCCAAATATACGCTCGTATGTGCATTATCTACTAACATTCAAATGAAGTCATACTTAACATATTCATTACCTCTGTTTCATTATAAGCTATATTTAAAAAAAAAATCTTGAAGTTTTTACTATTCCTTATCCAATTCGTTTATAAGACTTTTTTCTTTATTTAATGTTAAGGTATTGTTTAAAAATCTGTATTCAAAATCCAACACAGTTTAAAGATAAATTCTTACAGTGATTTTATTATTATAAAATGGACCTACTACATATTTAGCTAAATTTGTAATGAAGACAGTAAGGAAACTGTACAAGAAATAATGACAGTTGACAATATAACCATAAACATAAAACTAAAATTCAAATTTTAAGTTTTTAACATAAACCAAAGTTGTAATGAAAATTGTGTGGGACTATGGATCATTCCTTAGCTGGCAACAGTACAACGGACCATTACACTCTTTTACATCTTTCTTATTTCTCTGCAACTTCTCTTTCTCTTTCACTTTAAAGCATATAACATCACTTTTTTATTTAATTTCTATTCAAAATCTAATTTCATTTATATATATAAAAAATCCACTCAGAGAGATATAAATGACCCCCATCACACTCCTCATTTCTCTCACAAACCAATCCAAAACAGCAAAAGCAAAGCTTTTCTCTCTTTTCTTAAACCATTCACAACAACAAAAATCGAAAATGTATTCGTTAGTTTATAAACTCTTTCTATGTATGTCTCTCTTCCAAATCTCAATCTCTGCAAGGAAACTAGCAGAACAAGAATCAAACCAGTTTCAACTATTGAAATACCACAAAGGAGCTCTTCTCTCCGGCAAAGTATCCGTTAACCTAATCTGGTACGGAAAATTCAAGCCATCTCATAGAGCAATCATCTCCGATTTCATCACCTCACTCTCACATTCACCTTCAAAAACTCCAAACCAACCATCTGTCGCCACGTGGTGGAAGACCACCGAGAAATACTACAAACTCGCCGCAGGCGATAAAAACCCATCTTCATCTCTCTCACTCACTCTCAAGACACAAATCCTCGACGAGTCTTACTCTCTCGGAAAATCACTAACCGATAGAGAGATTCGCAAACTAGCTTCCAAAGGAGAACAATATGATGCGGTTAACGTCGTTTTGACTTCAGCTGACGTGGCGGTAACAGGATTCGGTATGAGCCGGTGCGGGACCCACGGATTCGCTCGTGGTAATTCGGGGAAACGCGGATCCAAATTCGCTTACATTTGGGTTGGAAACTCCGAAACGCAGTGTCCGGGTCAATGCGCGTGGCCATTCCACGCGCCGGTTTACGGTCCTCAGAGTCCACCACTCGTGGCGCCGAACAACGATGTTGGACTCGACGGTATGGTGATTAACTTAGCCAGTCTTTTGGCCGGTACCGCAACAAACCCGTTTGGTAACGGTTATTACCAGGGCCCACAAAACGCACCGCTAGAAGCTGCGTCTGCGTGTCCTGGCGTTTATGGGAAAGGAGCATATCCTGGTTACGCCGGGGATTTGCTTGTGGATACTACGACGGGAGGTAGTTTTAATGCGTATGGAGCAAACGGCAGGAAGTTTTTGCTCCCTGCTTTGTATGATCCTACGACGTCGGGTTGCTCTATTATGGTTTGAAAAAAAGAAAAAGAATCAGTGTTTGGGTCTTTTTGATTTGTAGTAGAAAATAATATTATTCTAGTGTAATTCTTTTATTTTATTCATTAATATTATTATTCACAGTTTTCTCTTAATGATGTATGATTTTTGATATTATAGATTTAATCCAATTAAAAATAGAAATTGCTACCATTTTGTTAAATTGATACTTTGATTTGACATGAGGACAAACATAGAAATAAAAGCTCAAGTTAATAATAAAGTTGTGCTAATGCTTTTTTTTTTTTCCCTTCAAAAAGTATATTAACTTGAGAAAATTGTAATCGTATAAATATGCTATCAAAAGCATAAAAACACAACCAAGAGGGAATACTTAAACAAGTAAGACAACCAGAGAAGCCTATACTATCAAAAAATGCAGAGACATGATACCGATCAAATCAGGACACATAAGAGGGTAAAAATTTCTCACTATTAAAGAGATCATTAAGCCAATTCGAATATCCACTAGCAACATAAGATTGAGAAAACACAAGCTTGATCACACTTTCAGCGATGAGAAAAGCCCCTCTATTGGCTGATCCAGCCACAACTTCAAACTCCCATGACTTCAACCTTGACAGTAAAATAAAAAACGAAGATGTTGAACTCTTGAAAGATGGCCATGCTATTGGTCGCAACAAAGCCTTCAGTAAGGACGAATCTTCCAAGACAAATATAACACACTCGACTTTGTGCTGGGACATGCTCTGAATAGCCCATTCGACACAAGTGAGGACAGCAGCATCTTTGCACAAAATATTTCCAAACTCTCGACGACTGTGAAGGAGTACTGATCCGGTCTGGTCACGAAGGACCCAAGATCCACGAGCACAGTTCCTTTTGTTAGACCAGAAAACCCCAATATTGCATTTCAAAACAGATGGTTTAGGTGGTTTCCAGACCTGCAATTTTTTATGCGCAGGATAAATGGGGCTTTCAGGACTGGTTTTTTCTATTTCTTGGGCATAAAACCAGAGATTCGACTCCACCAAAATCTTTTGGATCGATTCAGCTGGTGAGAAATTCTCAGCTTCAAAGAGAAATTTGTTCCTGTTTTTCCATAAAAACCATAGAACCCAAGGGAAGCACCGTCTAACCTCTAAGGGGATTTTCGTATTTTTCCCCATAAGCATGACATAGTGAATATTCACATAAACCGAGCTCTCGTGATAACCTCCTTGCGGAGAGGGAAAGTTTGAAAGGGCCCATACCTGTCGAGCCAGAGGGCATGTGAAAAGGACATGGTTTGAGGATTCACCTTCTTCTCCACATGCTTGACAACGAATATCCACTTTCATTCCTCTTTTTTCTATTGTTGTTGCTACGGGGATCACATCACTCATAACCTTCCAAACAAACGTCTTGATCTTTGGCACTGTCTGAAGCAGCCAAACTTTTTCTTTGATGCTGTTTAAAGACGGTTGTACTGCAGCTGTTTTGGTTACCTCTGAGAAGGAAAGTTTTGACGCCAACCAATAAGCAGATCTTACCGAGAACAGACCTCCTTTGTTGTGGTTCCAAATCCAGAAATCCTCTGTTTCTGGAATCGGCTTTATGGCTTGTATTAGGCGAATATCATTTGGGAAAAACAATTCCTCCAGCTTATCAGGTCTCCAGTCTCTTGACACCGGATCAATGATATCAGATACTAATAGATTCAGGTCAATAAACAGTTTTTTGATCCACGGCACACGCATACCATTACTTTCCAGCCATGGGTCGATCTAGACATGTATTGACCGTCCGTCACCAATCTTCTTACTGATGCCCTTAACCAGAAGATCACGACCGAATAGAATACTTCGCCAGGCGTAAGAGGGTCGAGACCCGAGGGCAGCGTCTAAAAACCATTTTTGGCTGAAGTATCTACTTTTGAGAAGGCGGGAGAAAAGACAATCCGGCTCGTGAAGGATTCTCTAGGCCTGTTTTGCAAGCAAAGCCTGGTTAAACTTCTCAATATCCTTAAACCCCAACCCTCCGAGGTTCTTTGGAAGGCAGAGTTTTTCCCAGCTTAACCAATGAGTCTTCCTCTTATGGTCCAGAAAATTCCACCAAAAAGTGGCCATTGCACTCGTGAGGTTTTTAATTGAAGACTTTGGGAGTTTGAAGCAGGACATGGCATTGACAGGGAGAGCCATCGCAACAGCTTTTAGTAACACTTCTTTCCCCCCTTGAGATAAACTGCGCGCAAACCAGCCTGATACTCTGGATTTTAACCGGTCTTGGATAAACCTGAGGAGCTCTATTTTTGATCCACTAAAACATTCTGGGAGTCCAAGATAGGTTCCAGTTCCACCTTTGTTGAAAATCCCAAAGGAGTCCTTTATGTTTTTATTAACCTCATCATTCACCTTAGAGCCGAAGGTGAGAGACGATTTGGTTAGGTTAATAACTTGCCCAGTCGCTTTTCCATATGAAGTAAGGATCTCTTGGAGCTCTCTACTCTGAGAAACGGTTGCCTTGCACAGAAATAAACTGTCGTCTACAAAAAGCAGATGATGAATAACAGGACCATCTTCAGAGAAACGAATCCCCTCAATCTTCCCCTGATACGCCGCCTTCATAAAAAGATGAGATAGGCCCTCCGTACACAGGACAAAAAGCGCAGGCGACATCGGATCACCTTGTCGCAACCCTCACTCAGGAGTAATCATTCCGAATGGCTGGTCATTGATCAAAGTTGAGTAAGTCACCGTGGATACACAGAACATGACCCATTGGATCCACTTAGGGGCGAATCCTAAGGCTTTCAAAAGGTTATCCACATAAGCCCACTCAACTCTGTCGTAGGCCTTTGACATGTCTGATTTAAGGACCATATATTCCGTCGAGATTACTGGATGAGTTTTCAACCCGTGGACTAACTCATGTGCAATAAGTATGTTGTCAGTTATGAGCCTTTCCGGTACAAACGCCGACTGAGAAGGAGAGACAAGATCAGCGAGGAACGGTTTGAGTCTCTTAATTCGAGATGACCTTATAGAATACGGAGCAGAGGTTAATCGACCTGAGATCACTCATCCTTTCTGCCTTTTTGTACCTTCGGGATGAGGCATAACAAGGTGTAGTTCCATTCAACAGGAAAAAATCTGGACTGGAAGAATTGTTTAACCTCTTTTGACACTTGTACTCCAACGATATCCCAATACTTTTGAAAGAAGAATCTCGTCATCCCGTCAGCACCAGGGGCACTGGATGCTTTTATAGCAAAAAACCGCTTGGTATATCTCTTCATCTGAAACTTCTCTTGTGAGGGTCTCGTTCATCTGCTCAGTTACACGTGCTTCAAAACCCTCAAAGAAACTCGCAAAACACCCTGGCTTAGTCGATGTGAAAAGCGTGTTGAAATAGGCTGAGGCAATCTCTCTCTTTGAAGCTTCAGCTCTATGGGAATTACCGTTAACATCCAGTAGCAAATCTAGCCCTTTTCTCCCTCTATTTAGTTTTACCGCTGCATGGTAAGATTTTGTGTTCTTATCTCCTTCTTTTAACCATTTTTCTCTGCTTTTCTGACTCCAGAAAGATTCCTCTTCACGGTATGCCTCCACTAGGCTTCTCTTAAGTGACCATACCTTCTGATTAACTAGAGAGGGATAAGATTTTTCCAACTCAAGTGACGCCTGAAGCTGGATAATCTTATCCCTTGAGTTCAAATTGTTCTCTCTTTTCCACCGGCTAAGTTCTTTCCTGCAATTTCGGATACGGCCAGCAACAGATAGTATTCCACCACGAATGGGAGCATTCCAAGCCCTATTCACAGCCTCCCGAACCAAAGGTTTGTTGAACAACCTCTTGTCGAACTTGAAGTTACCCTTGTAGACCTCTTTCGGGAATATCAATTTTACCAAGACAGGTCTGTGATCGGAACCTCTTTTATCAAGAAAGGCCTGATTTGCAGCAGGAAAAACAGCATACCACGCCTTATTGCCTAAACACCTATCAAGTTTACATTGGATCCACATGTCGCATCTTTAACCACCCCAAGTGAAAGGGTTTCCCGTGCTGGGGAGCTCATTCATACTACAGCAGTGTAACATATCGTTGAAAGCATTAAAAGAGTTAACACTGCGTCTGGGGCCTCCGAGCTTTTCACCATTATGACAAAGGTCATTAAAATTACCCTAGTAAACACCAGCTTTCACTTCTGTTCAGCCCAAGACGGGTTACACGTTTCCAAACAGCTTTCCTTGATTTACCCGAAGGGTCACCATATATACAAGAGACAAAACAGTTACCCTTTCCAGGCTGTACAAAAAGGTCTATAATATTCTTACTAGTGAAAAGGACATCCACACTGATGGTCTTCTTCCAAAAAACTGCCAGACCACCACTATTACTCGACGGCTCCACCGTATGTACTCTTTCGTAACCGAGCCATTCCTGAATATCTACCAAAACATCTCTTCCGTGCATCATCTCCATCAGAAACATGACATCAGGGAAATGTTCTTTACGCATTTCCATGAGTCTAGGAATCACCAAGTCTTGAGACCGTCACAACCCTTGGCAATTCCAGCTGAGGAAGCTCATTGGGGGCTGGACAGTCCCTCATTTGGGACCGTCAACGTTTTGATACATCTGGTATCAGCAGTTCCAGTGTTACCATCCTCCATCAGTTTGCGCTTTTGTTTCTTTAGGGGAGCATTCTCTGCAGTGGGCTCAGATTGTTTGAGTAGAAGCATTTCAGCCTTCTTTCTCCTACTTTTGTAAGGTCTTTTGCGTGGTTTTCCCGATTTCAAAACAGCCCCGGATAGACCTGCCTCGAAGAGACAAGCTCTATTAACCGTAGAGCTGAAATGAAATGAATCCGCAGACACTAGAAAATTAGCTGCCGAGCCTTCCGATTGGGTAGCACCTGGGTAAGAGAGTCTTGTTAGCGCACTCCCCGCGTTGATCGCAGCAGACATAAGCTTGTTCTCAAAACACTGTGAGTTCCCTGTGCTAATCTTTGGAGATGACTCGGTGTAGTCGAAAAT